TCACGAGCGTTTTGCTAACCCTGTAGATTTGTTTTCCTTAACAGGTTGAGTTCAAAGGTAAAATGGAGCAGCCCTCTTGATGTGCTTTTGTTTTAGGGTTGCTATTACTTTTGTTTATGCCTTTGGCTTTGGACGAAATGTATTATGTATGCTGACGGGTGGTTTGAAGAATGGATAACTGTTATTAAGTTTGAACACTTCCGCAATTATTGTATCTAAGTTATCGATTTGTATTGTGTGGTCCGGATATAAGTTGAATGGAATTGCTTGAGTCCTGGCGAGAGCTAGGCAGGCGTCCCGCGGATACCCTTTGGTTCGCCTTAGGGAGAAGTGGGGGCGTCACAAATATCTTCTATCCAACAGCAACTCTCTGAATTGACGTCTTTCGTGCGATAACTAGCTATGGGAAGTGCCTCACAAGCCAAAGTATGTGGAGTATGCACTGCTTTGGGTCACTCTACGGAGATGTGTCCGCTAGTTCAAGAAGAAAGTACGGAGCAAGTGAACATGGCTGGTCACGCGCCCGCACCAAGACAGTCATACGACCTATACTCGAAATACGTACAATCCGGTTGGAGAGATCATTCTAACTTCAGTTATGGAGGAAATAGGCAGTCGAATTTTACGCCAAATAGACAGGAAAGGTACCAATAACAGTATCAATCTCGCTCGCCACCACCCCCTTCAAACTCATGCCCGTCTATGGAAGAGATGATGAAGCAATTAATTGCTAATCAACAAAAGACAGATTCTGACCTACAAAGTATGAGAAATCAACTGGGACAGGTGCAAGCGATGCAGAGTCAGATGAGTCAGATGGCAATAGCAATCAACCGCATGGAATCCCAAGTTTATGGAAAATTGCCGTCTCAACCTGAATTGAATCTAAAGAATGTAAGTGCAATGACCTTAAGGAGTGAGAAGGAAATTCAGGGATTCGAACTCGTGATTCCGAAGGATAAAAATGAGGAACAAATTGAGAAAGAGCTTGAAAAGGAGGGTAGAAGCAACAAGGATTCAAAGATACTTCCGGACCCATTCATTACAATTAAGACTAACCTATCACCTTTTCCTAGTAGGTTGGAGAAATCGAAGAAACAAGATAAGGAAGAGGAAATTCTAGAGGTGTTTTGAAAGGTGGCAATCAATATTTCTTTGTTGGACGTGATCAAGCAAGTGCCAAAATATGCTAAATGCTTGAAAAACTTGTGCGTCAACAAGAAGAAGTTGAGGGGGGATGAGCATATTGTGGTAGGTGAGAACGTTTCAGCAATTTTACACAGAAAACTGCCACCTAAATGCGGAGATCCAGATATATTTACTATTTCTTGTAAGATTGGACATTCTAAGATTAAAAATGCCATGCTAGATTTAGGGAATTCAATTAATGTGATGCCTAAATCAATAGGTGATTCCCTAAATTTAGGACATTCCTTTAAAAGAAATAGGGATAATAATTCAATTGGTTGATCATACATTTGCTTATCCGGATGGGGTAGTTGAGGGCGTTTTAGTGCAAGTAGATGGATTAATTTTTCCTGCTAATTTTTATGTGCTTTACATGGATGATGAAAGCGCCCCAAATCCATCACCTATTATATTAGGAAGGTCATTCTTGAGTACTGCCCAAACTAAGATTGATGTTAGTAAGGGTACTCTCACAATGGAATTTGAGGGAGAAATAGTCCACTTTAATATTTTTGATACAATGAAACATCCTACTAACTCTCATTCTGTGTTCGCTATTCATGCTACTAATCCCTCTGTGCAAGAATTTTCTGAGTTTGCTTGTAGGGGTAAATTCAAAGTTTTTATGAACAAGTATCAGGGGATGAAAGTAATTTATGAGGTGAAAAGGAGTAGGAAATTAAGAAAGAAGGCTGCACTCAATGGCTATTTGGATCATGGAGAAAGGCCACAAATTACAAGGAAAATTGAATTACATCCAAATTGAATAGTGGTATTCAACGTCTAGTCAAAGATGTTAAAGAGAGGTGCTTTTTAGGAGGCAACCCAAATATTAGTATTGTTGTTTTTGTTGTTCAATTCTTTAAATATATCGTTTCTCACTTGGGTACTGATTAATCTTGATATTTTCCTTCATTGTGATCAGGACAGGGAATCTTTGCGTGCCCACGCGAGGAGGGCACGAAAAAGTGACTCCCAAGGTCAGTGGACGTTTACCAATTTCGGCGTATCCACGCGGTGTTTGACGACCTAAAATTGAAAAAAAAATTTAGAAAAATAAAATTATTTTCTTTTTAAACCTTCAGTATTGTTTTTTTTTTCAAAAATTCAAATTTTAAAATTTTAGTTAAAAAAAACTATTTTTTTCTTTTTTTCTTTTTTCTTTCCTTCTTCCCCTTTTCTTTCTTTGTTCTTCTCCATTTCCCTTTTCCCTTTTCTTTGTCCTCCGCCCCTTCCCAAGCCACACCACAAACCTCCATCTTCATTGCGCGAATCTCCCTTCTCCCCTCTCCCCTCCCAGTGCCGCATCTCCTCCACCCGCGAGCTGCCACTGTCACTTTCTCTCTCTCGCTTAGGCCATAGGACCATTGTTGGTGGCACCCGCATCTCTGATGCGTGACTGCCACCCATCCATGCCATCCTCGTACTTCAGAGACATTCAGTTTTTACTCCTCTCAACTCTTCCCTTTGTATTTAGAGCATCATTTTTGGAATTTGTGTGTTGAACTCACTTGCGATTCCTCTGCTGCATTTTTGCCTAATTAATTCGATCATTGCCTTCTGTGGGTCTGTGTTGAGATTTGGTTGGCTCCAGTGTGCCTCTGATTGCTTGCTTGTGACTCACTGGCTTTTATTACGTTGATTGTCGCCATAGATTTAGTTGATTTTTAAGTTGATTGTGACTTACTAGCTGAGAGCAACCTGCGGGTGCTTTGAAATTGCTGCATTGTTGGGATATTTATCTAGACCTTGGGTGCCTAATGTGGCTTTATTTGTTGATTGAGTTGGCCGTTTGAGTTGCTTCATTATCTGTGAGGTGCACCAGTGGTACTAGTTAGGGTATTTTGACTACATTTGTTGATTCTATTTGGTTGGCTGTCTGATTGAAAGCTAAAAACCTTGTGATTAAATTGTTGTCCAAATTTTCAACTGCTGTTGCTAGAATTGTTGGTTTCTTGGGACATTTGCTAATTTCAGTTGGCTGAGTTGTGTAATTGACTGTCCAATTGGAGACATTTGTTAAGATTTTGGGGTGGGCAAGTTTTGTCAGCGTTTATACAGAATTTGGCAGCGTTTATATACCACACGGGTCTTACACCTCAATTTCCACCTCACCTACCGCTGTGACCCCAACACGGTCCCATGATTTCAGGGAAGTTCCGTTGCTCTTCTTCTTACTTTTTCTGTTTATTTGCTACATTGAGGGCAATGTGCGATTCAGGTGTGGGGGGGATTCGACTGGTGCCTCTTTAGTTTTCTGCTTTTGGTACTGCTTATCTTGGTGATCAACAATTGCCTTGCAAACTCATTCTTTTATTGCTAGATGTGTTTTATTCTATAAATTTAGTTTCGGTGGCAAGTAAGACCATATTGTCTTGGTGAGTACTGTGAGTTCAATGACTTTGTGCGAATGGTGGCTAACTTGTTTAGGCAATATAAATATTTTGCTGGCAATTGTTGTGTGGATTGGTCCCCTGTTAACCTTAGTTCTCCATGTTTCGGAAATGAAGTAGGCTATGATCTTTAATTGTCCCATGTTTTGGTGTTTTGTTGTGAATAACATATGGCTATACTCCGCTGGTATTGTCACCCAGTAACCGGGAGTCTCCACCACAAGTGTTGACTCTTACATCAAAACAGTTGCGATATCTATGAGTAGGTGGTCCTGAAACGGTGAAAAGTTGAGTAACTGAGCTCTTTCATCTAAAAATATCAGAGTTCACGTCAAAAGACTTGAATGGCTTGAGACTAAGCATTTATTTGTTCAAAAAAGAAGAAAAACAAAGAAAACAAAAAAAAAAGAAAGGAAGAAAAGAAAAAGAACAGATGTGAAAAATATGTAAACTTATGATCATGTTGGCCTGCCGATCCTTGTTCTTCAATGTTGAGATTTTGGTGGCCAGTTGGACCAATTGCTGACTATTGCTAGCTTGATATTTGATTTCCTTGATGAGTTAGCCATGAATTGGACGAGTTTATGATTTCATGAGCTAACCGGGAGGATTATGTCTTGACACTTGGCCACTGAATCTTGATTTTAGTATAAACACAGCTTGGCAATAGATGACGTGAGAGTTGACCATTGTTGGGTCTAGTTGTTCTCATGCTTGAGGGCAAGCATGATTTAGGTGTGGGGGGAATTGATAGGGTGTTAATTGTTAGTAATTTTATTGTTAATTTTCCTTTTTGTCCTTACCAAATATTGTTATAATTGTTAACATATACTTATATTTGGTCTTTGGACCTATCTACAGGAAGTGGAACTGAAAAGTACTAAAAATGGGGACCTTCTTGAGACAATTGCTCCACACGTGGGAGGCTTATAGCGAGTTCATCCTTTCTATTTTATATGTTTATTCTGTGCTATACTTTTAAGGACATAATAGAAAAATCCAAAATTTGAATTTAATACAAAGAGTACTTATGGAATAGCAATATATTCAAAGATTTATAATTGTGCCTAAAATAAGTACTAGAGGAAAGGGTAAAATAGCAAAGAGTTTTTTTTTGGTTCCCCTTATCAAGATTTGGCATAAAGAGTGACTTCTAATACGTCGTTGATAGCACATACAATCACTCATCATTCTTTTTCATATTTAAAAATATATTAATTTTCTATACATTAATAATGTATACAGTATTAAATCTAAATGCATACTATTTGTTTCAAATTTTGAATTTTAAATTTTAATTAATATTAGTTGTCATGCATTCGAATCTAATAGCATATACAGTGTATACAAGATTAATTATTAAACAATTATACATATTGTGGTGAATGAAAGTTGGGGGAAGCGATGAAGAGGGGACACCATATCAACAGTGTACATAAGTTTCAAAGAGAAAAATCATAGAGGGACTAAGAGCCTAAAAGTCTTCGATTTGGGTCCTCATTGCGTCAATGAATGATTTCCCATCTAGTTCACGGGAAAAAAACGCTTTTAAATAGTCAATCATACTAATTCTTCTGAAAATTGCTGGATTTTTAGGGGTGATAAGACTTGGCGCTGGACCCATGTAACCATCCAGTTTTGGGGAAAAGAACGTTGCAATGGAAAGCCTTTTGTTGTGCAAATTCACAGTTGCCCGATGCTCAACACTCTTGTAAATCCCATTTGTCACAATCTGCATCTCAGTTAAAAACGTCACATTATTCCCAACTGTGTACTATGTAGCATACATTCTCATAAAAGTTCAATTAGGCTCAATAATAGGATATGGTTAACAGGGGAATCTTGTGAGTCCACCTATAACTATTGTTATGCCCCAAAAACACTGGAGATAGAATTCAGAAGCAATACCCTGATAGATCCAGGACATGATTTGTAAGTAACTCGTGTAATTAGCATTGAAATCAAGACAAAAAGTAAATTCCTTTCTGAAAATCAAAACAAATTTGTCGGGGAAAAGAGCAAGTACTTTTTTCAAAACGATGAAAGGAAAGTAGCGTGAATTTTACCACTCGTACATCACAGGTAAGCAATAATTTGGAGGGTGGGGTGTAAGGGCATGCACAATACTAATTTTGAAGTTATTATGCCCGAGTTTTTTCAATATAAGACCTTTTCATCCATATATTTTATGCTTTTTTGACTTTATAAAGATACGTATTCTATTAAAGTAGTCAATATTCTACCAATAAACGACATTCGTTTAACTCTGACAAAGTAGCCAAAGTTAGAAGTTTAGGCACAAATTTGTCAAAAGTTAAATTTTGGGATGAATGCTACACTTTGACCTTGCCTCATTTTCTGGGTGGTGCAAGTTGATAATTAGTCTTACACATCAACCTAGTGTAGGCATACTAATCATAATCGGAAAGATTATCTCTTGAATCCTATTAAAATATGGGAAGGACATTCTAATTTCCATATATGTTCATAATTGTAGAAACCAATTTGAAAATATCTCATAAGGGAGACCAAAAACTAGATAGATGTTGTAATTATATAAACAGAAAAGCAATTTGAAGAGATTGCTCATATTCACATTGCATCTTGGGAGAAAGGATTTTGAGCATGATTACCTCTAAAATGTCTCCAACATTGACTATGAATGCATTAGGAAGTGGTACAACAGGAACCCAAGCTCCAGCCTTTTTTATTTGGAGGGCTTCCACTTCATTGACTTGAAGTAAAATGGTAAGCCCAACGGCATCAGAGTGGGGGCAAAGGCCCATCACTAGCTCAGGTTGGGGACATGGAGGATAATAGTTCATCCTCATTGATTGCATCCCTTCTTGAAAAAGCATTGTCATATCTTCAAGCTTCATTCCTAATGCTTTTGTCATTTGCTCAAGGACCTTGATGGCAAGGATTTTCAATTCCCTTGAGTACTGATCTAGAGTTTCTCTACGATGTTAAAAAAATGTAAATAAAAAGTAAAGAATATCCAATATATAATAACAATGCACAATGCTTTAGATGTTAACTAATTTTTGATGCATGCAAGGATGGATGTTTTATGATCATCTCACGATGACATGGCTTATTAATTTTCCTCATAAAGACAATTAAGAAGGTAAGATTTAAGAAAGGGATAATTTTATAAACCTTCCCTAAGATTTTTAACAATTTCATTGAGCTCTCTTAAGGTTTTAAAAATTACACCTACCTCCCCTAATTTGACACTTTTGGTAACCAAACCTTAGACTTGGTCAAAATTTTTAATGAATATCCTAAAATACCCTCAACTTATAACGTTTGAATTACTTTCCAGAACAATCATAATATATTTAACACAAATATACAAAAAGAGTGTGAAGTTTTTAACACCATATTTATTATTTGATAAGCAAAGATGACAATAATTCTATCACTATGATAAACTACTTTTAATGGTGATTTACTAGGGTATGTATTTTTTAATTTGAAAAAGAAAATATCATCATAATTCTTTTAGAGTTTGTAGAATTTTGGATCGGTGGAACTATCATAGCTTGGTAGCAATTTTGGGCTTTTTTTTTTTGAGTTAATGTTGCTTTTGGTACCAAAAACAATCAGCAAGTAAAAATTAGATCACATTCAAAGTCATAAAAAATGTTACTAGTAAAACATTTATGCTATCAATGTTTATATTTTATGGTTTTATCGGCAAAAATATAAAAAGGGGGAATAAGAATAGAAAAAGAAAACAAAAATAATTATTAATACCATTCTTTGTAAAAGTATATCTAACAAGAGAGTTTTATTAAAATGTTAAAACTAATATTATCATTTTATGTGGGCAAAGGAGGTAAATGTTATTTTTATAACCTCGAAGGAGCTCAATGAAATTATCAGAAACCTGACGAGAGGTTTCTAAAATTGTCCCTTTAAGAAAAGCAAGAGAGGATATATTTTTTCTGTATGAGAGAGAGAGAGAGAGAGAGAGAGAGAGATGACATAATTTATTTTTTATCAATCGTCATGATCTACTCTATTCATACTCTAACCTATTCTAGAAGGAGACCCAACTGAATCTATTGGGGAACCGACGGAGATTGAATCACCATCGAATCAAACTATTTCTACTCTAATCTATTTTAGGGGAAGACTCAATTGAATCCATTGAAAAACCGATGGGAATTGAATCACCATTGAATTAAACGTACGCACTCATATGGATTTGAGAAAACCACATATAGTAGCAAAGTGATGTTGGGTAAGATTTGAACCTTTAACCTCTCACTCCACCAAGACTTTAAGTCATTGGGTGGCCAATAGCCATATGATTAAAAGAAGAGAAATGTTGGAAAACAATTAAGAATGACTCCAAGGTAAAAAAAATAAAAGAAAAGGCCTATCATGTGGAGACTTTAAGAGAGATAATGATCAAAATATTCAATCCTTGGGACACTTTGTGGCTGATAAGCTGTCTTTTTTTTTTTTTTTTTTTTTTTTTTTGAAGGAGTGGCTGATAAGCTGTCTTGATCATTACACATGGAATTTTATTGAAAGGATAGCATTCGATGTTTCATATCGTACGTCGGCCCCTAAGACAATACGACTTCCAAATAAATGCATCTACATAATAAAAAATATATATATTACGTACACTCGGATATTCTCTGCTACAATTTTTCATTTAACAGCATTTGGCTTTATTATTGCCTCCTCGGTTTCAATTATATGTAAAAGCTTTTTTCTGTTAACCAATTATATGTTTAGTTCTGGCGGGCTACCTACCAGCATTATCAAATTTTTTTTTTCTGAATAAAGCATTTTAGTCATCAATGGAATACTTTTTTATAAACAAATTGTGATCTAGAATAAAGAATAATTGAGTGGTTATCGTCTTTTTTACCCCTCAACAACTGAATGAGACATATATTATTATTTTTTTCGACAAAACAAAATTCACAAACAGTGATTAAGATGCTGCATAACCATTATCTACATCTTTCTTTATTTACTGTTCTTTAAGATTTAAGACAAAGTACTTAATTACCTCATCAAGTCCTTTATTACTTTGCTTATTAGAAGGGAATTATATAGTTCAAGTCCTTTATTTCAGTGATGAAAATTTATTGCGTACTTCCGTCTACCAATTAATCCCTGATTTCCATGAAATAAAATCAATGCAGTATTTGTAATCTATCGATTTCCCCTCTCCTAATTTTCCCAAATCTCTAATTACAACCCTTAATTCATAAACTTCCATGCAATGTTGGTATTACAAAGATAATCGACATTGCCACTGTAGAAATAAATGAGCAGAGGAGATAAGGAATAAATTAGCAAGCGGTAGTATATAAAGAACCAAATTAACCACCACTGCTATAATAAAGGACCAAAATGTTCATATTTCCATCAATTAAAATACATGAAAGAATCAAACCGCCACACTTAAATAATGTCTCATTGTAAATCCAGTTTATAAATCATAAAAATCATCATTATATCTCTTTACAATTTCGATTCTAGACTTTCAGTTTCTTTATATAAATCAAGATGTTGACAATTTATGTAAAAGAAATAGAAAGATTACAGGTACGGTGATTTGCAAAGTTACAGACTGCTACTAACCACTTATTTTCTTAACCTATTACTAGTCTATGATCATCTTATCCCTAGCTTTTAAGTATTTTCACCCACAAAATTTTAAAATTTTAGACAAGTGTAGAGAATTTTAGACGCTTATGACTTTCAAAAGTTATACTGTGTGTGATGTTACTATAGTCCTCAGGTGCTTGACAACATTCATCATTTAAACTTAATGTATTTAGATGTTAATATATTCAGATACATTTAATAACCAAAAATTGAATATCTGAATTAATTAAGTGTCATTAAATTTTTTAGGCAAAACTTGCTATAAAAAATAAGTGATAAACTTTTCACTTATCACCAAATATGATATACACTCAAATGTATTTGGTTTAATACTTAATAATTCAATAACTTAATGGATTCAGATTTCAAATTTCAGTTTTCAAACTTCAATTTTATCAAATGCATCCTAAATACAATGATATGAATGTGTGTGCAAATTTTCTTGTACTTGAATGGAAGAGGAAGGTTGGGAAGTAAATGAGGTTTTCTCAAGTGAGTTGGCAAAGTGACCATGTAAAACATGTCAGCCTAGTCAAGTTTTTGTTCCTCACATACAACAAAGGCCTGTCCATATCCTTCTACATCGCCCGGTTCTTGGGCAAATCTCTTCTTCTCTTCAATCGTCAAATTGAAAAACTTTTGCATCTCTAGTTTCAGTTTGTCCACTAATGACACTACAAGAAATATATTTTTCAGTGACAAAAATTTATGTGACAACAAAAATCTTGTCACAGATAACCTAATTCAGTGACGACATTAGGTGTCATCACAGATGAGTACAGCACAAGCATAATCAGTGACAACATTGGAAGTTGTCATTCTCAACTCGTCACGAAATAGTTGGCGCGTATCTCATTTGATGCCGCGGGAAATGATTTTATGACAACTCAAGTAAAGTCGTCACAAACGCTCTCTCTACAGTGACAACATAACTTGTTGTCATTGAAAGTCTACCCGGTTCCAATTTTGTGACAACTTTTTACATCACTGTATACTACAGTATTTTCATCAACTTTCACTAATTCTACTATGATACCCTAATTTTATTTTTTAGCCCCCAATTCTTTTATATTAGCAAAAGCACCGAAGATATGACACCCTAATTTTATAATTTAGCCCCTATTCATTATGTATTAACAAAATGTAAATGATATAATAACAAACTATGTTTAGATATTTGTAATTTTTGCTAAGTTGACATAATAGACATGTCTGAGCATAAAAATTTTTTCATGAATTGTTTATTATTACTTATAACAACCCCCAAAAATCAATAACTGAAATAATTTGAAAAAGTGTAATTGAATATAATTTGTAGTCTAATGTTAGCACTGTGAAAGATTAGTATAACGTGTAATACATCATAAGTAATAATTATTTTCATATGGAATGGGTATATACGAAATTAAAATTATTCAGTAAAATATCAGTCGTGCAATAAGATTGAGAGTTGTAACACATTTAACAAAATATTTGATTACATGTTTCTTTGAATTTATTATAAAAACTAAGTAATAGACAAAGAGTAGGATAAGCATGAGTAAGAAGTGCTATACTGTATATAAGCAATTCTATAGTATTTTCATCAAATTTCACTAATTCTACTATGGCACCCTAATTTTATTATTTAGTCCCCAATTCTTTTATATGAGCAAAAGCACAGAAGATATGACACCCTAATTTTATAATTTAGCCCCTATTCATTACGTATTAGCAATATGCAAATGATATAATAACAAACTAGTTTTAGATATTTGTAATTTTTTCTAAGTTGACATAGTAGACATGTCTGAGCATAAAAAATTTTTCATGAATTGTTTATTATTACTTATAACAACCCCCAAAAATCAATAACTGAAATAATTTGAAAAAGTGTAATTGAATATAATTTGTAGTCTAATGTTAGCACTGTGAAAGATTAGTATAACGTGTAATACATCATAAGTAATAATTATTTTCATATGGAATGGGTATATACGAAATTAAAATTATTCAGTAAAATATCTGTCGTGCAATAAGATTGAGAGTTGTAACACATTTAACAGAATATTTGATTACATGTTTCTTTGAATTTATTATAAAAACTAAGTAATAGGCAAAGAGTAGGATAAGCATGAGTAAGAAGTGCTATACTGTATATAAGCAATTCTATGCATGTTAAATTTTTGAAACATGTTTTATTGTGTAAGTTTTATTGTAAGGTAATTTCTTAAATAATTTGTATATTGAGTTGGCCAAACCCAAAAAGATGTATATAGACACAAACAAGCACACATATATATACATGCACAAAAAAGAAACCAATATCAAATAATTTATTTGATATTTATAGATGAGATTAAGGAAAAAAAAAGAGATTAAGTATGAAAAAAGAAACCTGAAAAAAAAATTTGACCAGGGGAAAAAAAAAAGAAAAAAGATGTATGAAGCTACAGGCGTGAATCCTGGAATCTCAAAGACGTGCTTAGATGCCAAAAAAAAAAGAGCGCCAGTCTGAATCGCTTCGCTTATGATATGTAATTCATGGAGAATTTGATGTATATTTGAGATTTACATTGTATTATATTTGAAGACTGTAGTGAGTGAGTGAGTCCCGGCGAGAGTTGGGCAGGCGGTCTGCCGAACCCTTTGGTTCACCTTAGGGGGAGGTGGAGCTGTCACAATTCGTCTTTGTCCCGAGGTCGCAAGACAGGAGATAATTCCTTCTTCATGCCTTTACTCTTCTTGCATGAAACATATTAGATTGTTTTAAGTACAAAGTTTGATATTCATGAATTCTACAAATTCACGTGGAAATTTCTTTATAAGGCGTGGCTAAATTCCTCATTTAGTCGAAGGTCAACTTGAAGACCCAGTTCCAAACATCTGTGAGATCGAATTATTTTACTTATTTCTTTTATTCATTGGTATTTGTACGTTTTCTAGTTTAACTTCTTATAATTGTTTTGTTATTTGAATGTCAAGAGCCCGATATTCAAATTAACCTAATAATCTACTGCCAAATTAATTGATTTAATCCGTAATTGTTCAATTGATTAATACCAGTGGCGACTAACGTGATTGGTTCCATGTTAGGAAAACGCATGATCTAATTTAAACAAACCCTCTAGCATGTTTGTTAGTTAGGGTTGGGCTTTTCTAATTCTTAATGCAATCTAGAAATTAAATCCTACAGTCGTACCTAGAGTTATTTTTTGGTTAGAGAAATAGTTAACGGTCGTACCTTGACTATCGAAAAAGTAAGGAAAGACTGGTTGTTTATCGCGTGTATGATAATTATAATCAATCTATTAATGAGTAATTGAATTATCTTTGCATCGATAATTAGTTGAATAAACCGTGTCTAAAAAGTTGCACCTTTGGCCAGAGTCGTATGGGTTATTGATTAATTCTTGTTTATTTCTATTAGTTGTTTCATTAGTTAGTTAGTTAGTTAGTTTACATTCTCCAAAAATCCCCCATACTTATCCCCAGTCCCTGTGGATTCGACCCTACTCACCGCTATATATAAAATTTGTATTTTTCTTAAGAATGTAATTATTATTACACAGGCTCGACACCTGTCATCTTTTCTCCTTAGAGTTGTCTAGTGAGAGTTTTCTTCTCTCCTAAATTTTTTAGTGGAATTTTATTCTCTCCTAAGCATTCCTAGTAAGAGTTTTTGATAATTTTTTCAATTTTCTTTTATTACATTTGAGTTTTTCGGATTTTGATTATTAGATCTGAAATTTCTAAGATCTATTTAGTAGATCTCACTATAATATATGGACTCGAAGCCGTTAATCAGCAGATTTGACGATTACAACCATGCATAGATATCCATGGAGCTACAATTATTTTATCTTATTTTTTAAATTTGAAGCTTTATAATGTAATTTTTATTGTTCTTCATATCTGTAGTATCCTTTCTTTAGATCTGTTATTTTATATTTGTATATATTTGATGATATAATTTCTACCATTAGTGTAAATTTTAATGAAAATATGATATTTTATTAAAAAAATCATCTTTGATCAAAACACAAACGGAAATTCTTGGCAGGTCATTATTTTTCTCAATCTCACAAAAAGTGAAAAAGAAAGCTTCTTAAGCCTTAGTGGACTTACTAGCATATGTACAATAGGTTAATGTTTTGAATTATTCATATTGTTGTTCTAAATATATTTTTCTCTTTTTATTTGGTTTGGAAGCTAGTGGATGGAGGGCGGCGGGGTAATTAATTTCTCATTGGCATTTCAGCTTATTTTTTTGCTTGACCTTTCGTCGTCATGTATTCAGCCATTTCTGGATCTTTATACTTCCCTAAACAGAAATCTGAAATGTTAACTTTAAAAATTATCACATAAACATATTCTTTTATTCTATCTTACTCAGTAGATAATTTTACAGAAAAATCAACTTTACCTACTAAAAAATCTCATCTATCTGATGCATTAGCGTTCAAATTTAGATAGATGTGAAAACGTTAAATTAAATGGTATCATTGAATTGCTTCAATCAAAACCATCTGGCAAAGTGCATCAGTGGCCATTAAATTTTCATGAATGTCTCTTTTCGGCCATCCAATTTTTTTTTTTTCATTCAAGAAATTTCAGTAACTAGTAGTACAGTTTGGCTAAAATTTTAGCATAGTACGTATGTTAGTTCATGTCAAAAACAGTTTTTATCCTACAACTGCATGGTTAAAGAATTACAAGACTAAAGATAGAACACTTGATTTAAATTCCCCGTTTTGTGTGTGTTGTGCATGGTTGGTCAAATATACCTTAGAGGAAGAGGCAGCTTAGGGAATAAATGAGGTTTTCTTAAATCTTCTGGTTGAGTGATCATGTATAACACGTCAGCCCAGTCAAGCTTTTGCTCCTCTAATTTGACAAAGGCCTGCCCATATCCTTCTACATCTCCTGGTTCTTGACCATATTTGTTCTTTTCAACCATTGGCAAATTGAAAAAATTTTGAACTTCTGATTTCAATTTCTCCACCAATGAAGAGCTAACTCCATGATTAATCAGTTGCTGACAGTTACTCATAAGTAATAGCGTCTGGATGGAACAGCATATAAGCATATGTATACTTTCAACTGATTTGCACCCGTAAAATTTAGGTAAAAGATGATTAAGTCATCAACGGATTCATTTTTCATAGGACTTTGATTTCATTTGAAGATGGTTTCTTTTTTTTCGATACAAAAAAAAAGTGGGATGGTCTCAAACCTTGAAAAAGGTAACCATAGAGTTTTGGTCTAGTGGCCACCAAGGGGAATTTAAAGTTCCTTTCTAGGATGTTAGTTAGGGTTTAAACCTTACACAAAATCGACGGTTCAAACATCAAAATAACAACACTTGACAATTTAGTTTTGTAAAAAAGTTGTATAATCAAACTATTTCAAAAATACAATAGCTTGTCACACAAATATATGTTTGTCATACATTCAATCCTTGTATATATAACTGGAAAAAACCCCACTCCTTGCAAGTAGAATGCAGCTTCTGAAGCTCCAAATCACTTACCTCCACAGCAGAACTGTTAGAGATGGTTGAATATTGGTCTTTGTCGGGGCGTATGTAACGAGTTGGAACAGAAAAGGGATTTTTCTTGGCCAACTCTTGGACAAAAGGAACATTCAGAGATCCCCCAAGCTTTCTTGTCTTGGGATCCACGATTGTGGTTCTTTTCAACTTCAAAGCTCTAATTCTTGTATCTATCCACTGAATCCCTAGTTCAGAATATATATATTTTTTCGCACCAGATGTTTCATTAATCCAACATTGTTTATGTGAGGACTCGAAAATTTTCTTATTCTTATCTTATTTTTCTGACTTATTTAAATAATTATTCATCCATTTTCTTCGAATAATTTATTTCAACCATTTTAAATCCATTTACATGGAACAATGTCTCAATTATACTTTTAAAACGTCCAGTTAGTAAATTTATTTTTTTTGCGGCTCGTTTAGCAAGAAATAGCGAATACACATTTTTCGATATAATATTCGATCCGATAGTACAATTATCTTGAAAAATTAAGAATGATCAATAGTAGACTAAGAAAAGTTAATTAAGGGATTAGAGGTGGGTGAGTTCAAAAATTTCGCCTTATCGCATGCGAGTAGAAAGTTTGCATATTGCGCGAAGGAATGATAAAGTGGAGATTTGAGAAAGTTATACTAGACTCATAAGAGTGAGTAAATACAGTGTTAAAGGAATTATAGTTGAGGATTAGTATACAAGTGAAACAAACAAGAGAGAAAAGTTGTAGTACGGGACACTATTTGAACCCTATTCAAAGTTGACTTTTGCAAAGCTTTTGGCCACAATTTCTTCAAGCTTCCAAGACAAGATTCACACAACTCAAACCACTCACTCTCTCCTCTCTTCGGTCGGCCGAAACAGCAAAGGAAAAGGAAGGAAGAAAGCTTCTTCATCTTGCTCCAAATCTTGTTCCATTTCCCTCACAAATCTTCACCCAAATTACATACTACTTGGAGATTAGTTCTAGTTTGGAGAAAGACATCATCTTGTAGAATTTCTTGGAGGTTTTGTGGTGAAAAAAATTCTGGTATCATCTAGGGTTCAAGAGGTAACCCTTTACCTTCTTCAATCTTTCTAATTTCTTCAAGAATGAAGCTTAGTTTGCATGGGTTTACAACCCTAAGCAAGAAATAAGTTAGAGGACTTGAGGAATTTCAATTCTTGTTTTAATCTCTAGGCTAGCGATCTTGAGGTGGATTATAGGTAGCTGACTTAAGGATTAAAATGCTTGATTGTTGTGTTTATGTGTTATATAAGAGATTTATAGTTAGAATATGGAGAGAAAGTTGGAAAAGGTTTGAGATGTGAGCTGGCCGAAACTGTCCTGTGGTTATCTTGTTTGCATTTCGAATTTTTTTTGCTTATTTGACTATGAAATTGATGGATATAAGTTGTATATTGGGTGTACAAAGTGCCTTGCGAAAATTATTTCATTTGGTTGCACAAAACTAGAGTTTTCGAAAATGGAAGAAATCTGGAATTTGTGATCAGGAGGTCCGGACAGTAGCTCTTTGTTTGAACATAACTTGTTGTACAAAAATTAAAATGGAGTGCCGTTTATGGCATTTGAAACTAGACATTTATAGCTTTCTAATGGTATAAAAATCACCTACTAGTTCGAACTGAGTGAACTGTAGTGATTTAACAAATTTGACTGTCCTGTTGTGATTCTTTGTCCGAGAGGAATGGAGAAGCTGCATATTGTGGCTTAATTTTCTCTTACTTGTGAACTGATTTTGGAAATGACTCTTTCTGATGAAATGTATCATTTTGAACCTAGTTTCCAACGCCACCAATCATTCCCAATTTGAGTTTGTATTGAGTGAGATGTGGTCTGATTTCGAAAGTGCAACAAAGCTGGAAACTGGAAACTTTTTCCTTTCTTGTTGGCCGAATGGTCAAATTTGTTTTGGGATGTTTTGCCATGAAAATTTCTATGTCAATTGCTTATCAAATGTTTCTAGAACCTTGGTTTCAAAGAATTGGGATTGATTTCATTGGACAAAAACCTTTGGAAAGAAAGAAAGAGTGGGTTGACAGATTTGCTTTGAAAATTTCACGAATTTTAGTCATTTTGTTAACTGCCTTCCCGTGTGAGTTTTTGCCTATAACTTGATAGGAAAGTCCAAATATGGAAGTTTAAGTGTACCAAATTTGGTATAAATTCAATAACATTTCGATATCCAAATGATGCCTCAAACATTGCTCTTCAAATCTAGAAATTCACTGTTTTTTTTTTTTTAGAGTGTAAACATTTTTTTGTTATTTATCGGAAGAACAAAATTACAAATGCCAATGCTCGAATAAAAAACTACCCCTCCCTCACAACAACCTGGCGGAGGGAAGGCATACCTAGCCTATCTAGAAATAAAGCCCCTCGCGCTAACCGGGGTAACTCCGATGCCGCCAAGTATATATCGTCACGGGCCCGCTGACATCCAGTATTCGCCAACGTATCGGCGACCTGGTTCGCCTGACGGTAACAGTGAAGAATCCGCGGAAAGGAAGATGCTACCCCCATCAACTGCTGCACCTCCGTGTGGATGCCCCATGGGCAATGAGCTAAACGATTCAAAATGCGGACTAATGTCAACGAGTCCATTTCAACGTCAAAGATGGCGATGCCCCGCTGGAGGCACAAATTGACCCCAACCAACAGGGAACGGGCCTCAGCCTGCACACTTGAAGCCAAACCGAAACAACAAGAAAATGCCAGCACCATCCTCCCCTCCCAATCACGCAACACCCCCCTCCTCCACTCCAACTAGGATTACCCTTAGAACAACCGTCCGTGTTAAGTTTTAGGCTTCCGTGGAGAGGCCGCACCCATTTTACCAGCCTATGTGAGATCCCCGCTTTCCACTTCCATATGGCCAAATAAAAATGGACCCACGACCATGACGGTACCCGGTAGCCCGGAAACTAGATCTTGAACAACTGTATCACCTCGGAGAAGATCAAATGGCATACTTGAGCCCCCACAATCCTCTTGCTCTCGTACTTCACCCCGTTGCAAGCCTTCCAAAGATGCCAATAGATCAACAAAGGGACAACCTGGTGGACAAACTTCAACAACTTATTCTGATGCCGCCCCTCCCACCAGGCTGCCAGACATACGCGAAACGAAGACCTTGACCAACCGACCCAATCGGAGCCCCAAAGAACTGCCACACAAACCGTGCCATAGCCCCATCACAAAACACATGCTCCGTAGTCTCAATCTCAGGAGATGTACAACACGAACATCGAGACGGTCCCTGCACCCCCAACTTCCATACGGAACAGTCCAAGGGGAGGCGATCTCGCAGCAGGCGCAAGAGAAAAAACGAAACTCTCAGCGGTACCCCTAGGTGCCAAATGCGCTTGAAAAGAGGCGAAGGCCTAGCATGATGCCGGACCAAGGAGAAAGCCGTCTTGAGACTAAAACGGCCCGATGGCTCCGGCGGCCAAACCATTAGGTTAGGCAGCGACCCTCTAGGTGGGTGCATTTGGCCAATCCCTGCAACTATATCCGGCGGTACCCATTGTGAAATCCTGCAAACGTCCCAGGAACCGCCCTGCACAAAGTCCGCCACCTTATGGTCTGACACACTATCCAATCGATCCGCCAAATGCCTAGAACCTAACTAATTGTCAAACCAAAAATTCGCATTCCCGGACCGGATGATCCATCCAATGTTCCTTTCCGCCAAGGCTCGAACTTTCCCCATCCTTCTCCACCCCTCTGATCCCTTCTCCGAAAACACCAGGTTAGGATGCACTACCCGGCAAAACTTTGCATGCATAAATGAGACCCACAAGGACGACTTGGATTGAAAATTCCACCATAATTTGATGGAGAAAGCCCGGTGAATATCTTCCAGCAGGCGGAGCCCAACCCCTCATTCTCCACGCTCAACACATAAATCGTTCCACCGAATCCAATGGTGTTTGGGGCCGTTGTCATCCGACCCCCATAAGAAATTAGCGAATATACCCTCCAGCTCCTTGAAAATAGCTTTGGGAGGTGAAGCCGCCATCAACAGGTATGTTGGCATAGCAAAGAGGACATGTTTCAACAACACAATCCTCTCTCCCTGTGAATATCTGGAAATTCACTGTTAAAGTAGTGAAAATTAACCGACTTTAGGCTATTTTATCTTGACGCTCAAAACTCTAAATTTAGTTTCGTTTGTTGTGTTTGAAAACCTGTTTGAAACTCTTATTGTGTTACAAATTTCAAAGACTGAATCGTTTTCTATGAATTTTGCTGAATTTCCAAAAATGGCTGAAAAATCAAAGACTGGTTCAAACCTGTCCTCTTGGAACTGAAATTTTGAGTTGAAAAATGAGTACTTTCCGTTTAGAATCTTGAAAAAATGTCTTCTAGGAACTTTTAGCATTTTGGATCTAGTTTCCAACGGAATAAAGTTTTTCCATATTTGGAAGTACCGAACTCAAGATCTAATTTTACCAAGTTTATCGCGTAGAGCTAAAAATTCATGATTTCTTGGAAAATGAGTTTTTGAGAACTTTTCGTTGTCTTTCGATATTGATCATCCATTTTAAACTCATCTTCATGGAGGATGCAAGTTTCTCTTATGAATTTAAATCCTCACTTTTGAATCTCGATTTTCGAGATATTAAAGTTCTTTTAAGACATTGTCTTAGTATTGCGCAAGTGTACATTCTTTTTTGTTTGGCAAGAAGTTTGTAAATATTTGTGAGTGATAGATAATTGTTATTTCTTCAGGTGCTCAAGAGGATTTTGAAGAGAATCTCGGAGCCGACCACTAAAGGCTTATTTGCTTACTTACTCACTTTTTGATTTGGTGAGTATCAAGTGTATGGAGTGTTGCTACGTGTTTAAATGTTCTCATTAATTGAGTATTCTAAAAGTGCCAAATCGAGTATGTACTTTACTACACTCGTTCTCTTTTAAATGAATTATATTTGAATTGTACGAAATGAATTTGCTAAGTGCATAAAGTGAAGTGTTGCAATAGTGAATCATGCTATGTTTGAATGAATGTCGATTGGAGTGAATCTTATCAGCTTATATTGATAATAGTAGGGGACGCCTAAACTCATCGGCCGACCTTGCGACTCGAACCGGCATGGGCTTGGTCGTGAAACTTGATGAGCCATGAGAAAAAATTGTATAAACTTGATCTATTTGAGAGATCTCACTTGGCATATTCGAGTAGTATCGCCTTATATAAAAGAAGTACGGGCTCGGAGTAGGGGGTGTGACAGCCCCACCTCACCCTAAGGCGAACCAAAGGGTTCGGCGGACCGCCTACCCAGCTCTCGCTAAGACTACTAAGACGGTTATACACAACTCAAAACGTGCCGGAATACAGTAGCGCGCTTAAACAAAGCAAAAATCACAAAATCAAAAAATAAAAAAAAATCGAAACGGAAAGTGAATAGTGCCTGCCACGTCACAATTCGACCACGGCTCAATCGAATACAAGTAATTTCATATAATCCTTGAAATGGATATATACAAACCAAACATACCACATGAACATGAGTACACGCTTTGATAAACCACATTCGTAGTTTTACAAATCAAAAGGGAACATTTGAATTCAAGTACAATTAGAGTTCCAACCATTGAGGAGCTATACAAAATATCTAAACTAGCTCAACTCATGCTTCAAAATCACAGTTCCAAAAGTGGATCCCTGTAAGGAAAATAAGGATAACGGAACAGGGTGAGTTAGAAGCTCAATGAGGTACCAAAAATAATAACTGTCAAGAACCAAGGAACTTCATGCTCAATTAATCACATAAGTATACCAAATAAGGAGATGAGCAAAACAACTTAGATAGAAAGGATACAGGTGGCTCTTAGGAGCCAAATCCCCGTTATAGTACTTGATCCGACTACGTTGACCCTCCGTCAACTTTCAAATAAGGAAACCAGTCCAATAGAACGCCACTTTAACGCCAAATCCCGTTCACCAATCATACACCCTTACCGGGCCCGAACGCCAAACAAGAATGAAAGTGGTAATATTCGAGTATACCGGAATCAAGAGTCTCAATACTCAAAGATTCCCTAGGAACAGGCACTCATGGATTGTGAAATACCTCGACCAAACCCTTATTGGCTCGATTTAATTAACTCCCCATGAGATTGAGCTCAGGTTTAACAGGAAGGTCGTTGGACACACTTTCAAACGACATTATAATGAGCGCAAGTAACAGGTTCAAGTTCATAACAAGTACAAGTAATAGATTTCAGTTTATACAACACAGGCAAGAGAACGAAGTACACCCTCGTCTCATTCAAAATAACAGAGTTCATAGTTATCTATGTCACAAATTTCAAGTATAGATGAACCAATTAAGCAACAATGCAGGGGAGTGGTACACTCACCAGATCAAACAAGGATAATTTCAAAAATTTCTTTCCCAAGTGTGGCTTTACTCGCCGGCACCTCCTAGAACAATCAAGGGCAAACACTTAAGACTTGACTCCAAGACCTAATAAATGGAATTCGCAAGTAAAACTCGGTTACAAGTCATGTGCCTATCCAAATGAACCATTAATGTAAAGCGAAGAGGTGACTTTGGAGTGAAAAGATAACTGTGAGAGCCCGAATTTTTCTTATTTTCTAGGCATTTATTTTAATCTTTTACGTATAATTTTCATATTTTCTTTCTTATATGAAAATTCTAAAAATTTTTATGAGGACATATGATTTTTACATTTTTTTTTCCATATAAGTTATTTTCTGTGTTAAAGGTGGTGTACAGTGGATGCGAGACCTACTCGTGCGATAAGTGCGGTAAATGTGGTTCATTTGGAGAAGCTTTGTATACAAGGATTATATTACATGGTGTAATGAGATAATTAGGGGTTAGCTAGTTAATTAAGTCTTGCAAGACAAAAGAAATGAGATAAGCTTGAAATGGGCACATGTTGCATTGTGATTGGAGGTTGGCATTTGACTAGTCTTTCTTTACCTTTACTAAACTAATTTTGACCAAAAATCATCTTCCATTTCCTCCTTCTTGGCTGAGCAACAAGAGAGAAAAGAGAGAGAGAGCTTCTTCAAATTTCCTTCATTTCTAGCTTGAATCTTGCAAACCTACCGGTTAAATTCCAAATTTCTCCACAAAAGTGAGTTGCTAAGCTAGTTTAAGGTGTTGAGTGGAGCCATTTGTGAAGAACAAGCTCTAGTTGTCTTGTTTCTTGGAGTTGCAAAGGTGAGTTGTTAAATATCTTCCCTCTCATGTTACTAATGATCAATTAAGGATTTCTAGTGGTAGAGCGTGTCATTATGTGGATTATTTTGTGACTTATGGTTGAGTTGTTCAATTTTTCCTATTTATTGAGGAATTTTCTGTTTTATATGGTATCTTGTGGTTGGCTATGGATTGATAGTCCTATATGAAGGAATTTGGAGCCTCTATATGCTTATTGTGGTTTATTGTAGAAATTTCCAGGTTTTAGAGGGATTTTCAGTTCTAGGGTTTCCAAATGACCCTGTTCTGCCCGGTTCTATTCGGCTAGGTTAGAGGCCAAATTAGCCTTAGATTAAAACATGAAAGTTGTAGAAAATAATGTTTTATAGTTTTCTGTAAAATTTCAGCCCAATACGAGTTGTGTAACCTGAAAAAAGACATAAATACCGGAGACTGCCGTAGGAAGAGTTCGCTGGACAGGGTGGACATTTCACCCAATCTGACCATGACTTTTCACCCTGATGCTTACTGAATTAGATTCTGGCCAAAACATGAAAGTTGTAGTGCTAGGTCTTAGCTTTTCAACGGCCTTAGAAACACCTTAATTGGGCTTCGGTAGCCTGAATTAGGGTCTTTTAACCATACTGTGGTTAGTTAACCTGTTTGTGTGATGCTAGTTTGGTACATTGAAATTGTGGCCTAGCTACCCTACGAACTGGACTGAATGGCCTTCTTCAAAATTGTAGCCCTTTATCTTAGCTTCGAAATGGTGTAAATTTCACCCCAATCCGATAAGTGTAACTCCAGTTGTGTCCGTTCCGCTAAATGACGTCAAAACTGTCTTTTGGTTTTAGGGCATAAACTTCATTTCCGGACTCTCCCTCGCTTGACTATGCACTTATACGTTCTATTGGGCCTTATTTTTGGTAGTGTGTGGATTGGATTTGACTCTTGTTCGAGTCTTAATTGTGATATTCTTGTTATATAGGTCGTGCCGGTGATCCGACGCCTACACCTGAAGCTAACTTGTGAATTTGCTTACTTATCTTGGTGAATGTACTATTATAGGTCTACTGCTTAAATGGTTGTTTATACTTGTTATGTGAACTTGAATGGTTTGAATGAGACGAGAGTGTACTTTATCGCTCTCGATCTCTTATCTGTATTACTGGTACTGTCAACTGTGAAATTGTATACATGTGTGATTTGACATGGCTTGGGGATTTGCCCAACAACTTAACTGTACTATCTGAACTCATACCCCATTGGTCCTTAGTCGAATCGAGTCGGCAAGGGCTTGGGTGAATCGATAACGAACCTTGGGTTCACTGTAGTCGAGTGGAGTGTTAAATCCTTGACCTTATGATATACTCGAGTATTACCCTCTGTGTTACTGTGAGGTGTTCGGGCTTGGTAAGGGGGTGTTCGGTGGAAGGGATATGGAGTAAAGTGGCGTTCTACAGGTTGTTCTCCTCTTTAACGGTTGACGGAGTGTCAACGGGTTGGAGATCAAGTGTGGCAAGTGGAAAGTGGCTCTTGAGAGCCAATTGTATCCTTTTACATTGACTTGCTTGTTTATGAGCTTTGGAATCACTATGTGTTAATACTTGCTTACTGGTGTGTCTTGTTGGTACCTCACGAGCGTAAGCTCGCCCCTCGTTACTTTGTTTTCCTTACAGGGAATAACCTTTTGGAAACTATGATGTTTTGAAGCCGAGTTGAGCTAGTTTTAATATTCTTTTGTATAGCTCCTTGATAGTTGGGAAATCCATACATGTACTTGGATCCAACATTTCTTTTGAAATGTAAATTTGTAACTATGCGTATATAAAAGTGTTTG